AATCTCAGATTGACCATAACAGATTTGGATGGTCACATTTACTATGCACATGGCAATGTCACAACAGCCGCACAACTTCTTGACGCTTTCAAGACTACAAAGAGAGAACAAATGTTTGACTCCGACTCAGACATTTTGAATGCATTTGAAGGAATTGCAAGTGTCAAGTTCGAATGGTACCAACCTAACCCTCAAGCAGTCAGACAACATGTTTGTTAGATGAGAAATATGAAATGGCATACCATTTTAAAACAATATATTTTTACATATATTAAATGCTTCAGGTTGAAAAACAAAGAACAAAAGTAGCAGATACAAAACCGTTAGACTATATCTTTACAAATGCTGGTAGGACTATTTCAGATGAAGAAATTTCATCCCGAGCTTACAGGTTTGACTATCCAGTTCGTTGGCTTCAAAGTCCTTCAGATGCAAAGGCAATAGGATTTAGAAGAGTTTTGTTTTCAAATAGAACGAACGCATTTATGTTCGCAGTATATTTTCATGGGCAGTATAAAGGTTCTGATGGTCTAATAGACAAATTTGACGAAATGAGAATCTTTACAGTTCGTTCAGACGAAAGTCTTGAGAAAACTCTAAATGACTTTCAAACTCAAATGAACAAATATTATTGGGAATTTCAAGAAAAATACGACTCTTTACTAAATGGAACATACTATCTGAAACTAGAATATGACAAGATGAACTCCACCGTTTCATTTCAAAAGATTGAAATTAACCCTCCAAGAGATACAGAGTTTTTATTTTGGGGAGTAGACAAACGTTCTTGGGCACAATTTCTTCGGTTACTAAACCAGAACGAACCATTACCACCAGATGGTCCATTTAAATTTATACTTCCACCAGCAGATTTGACAGTTTATAGAAACGTGTTTGACCCTCAAAATGTTATGTGTCATGCAAGTTTCAGTTCAAGCAACAATAGTTTTCTATGTATTGGTAAGGACTTTTATGACTTTGCTTCTAAATTCTACGAACCACCTAGTAACAGTTTCTCTGACTTTCAAGTTTGGTTCACAACAAATGGTGTGCAACATATAATACCATTGTACTATGACTTTTATCTCGAATTGTCTTTCATATATAACTACGGAAAAGTGCTGAAAAAGTATTGAAAAATATATTTTAGAGTAGATGGTTTTTAGGTGTCACCAGGTCCCTCGGTCCCTCGGTCCCTCGGTCATTTTAACTTCTCTGAAAAAGTGTGACAACATGACATTTTGACAACAGTCCAGGAAATAAACTTCTTCTTCGTAAATGTTTTGTCATGACTTCTTCGTATATGTTTTGAAGAACTGAAGGTGTCACCAGGTCCCTCGGTCCCTCGGTCCCTCGGTCATTTTAACTTCTCTGAAAAAGTGTGACAACATGACATTTTGACAACAGTCCAGGAAATAAACTTCTTCTTCGTAAATGTTTTGTCATGACTTCTTCGTATATGTTTTGAAGAACTGAAGGTGTCACCAGGTCCCTCGGTCCCTCGGTCCCTCGGTCATTTTAACTTCTCTGAAAAAGTGTGACAACATGACATTTTGACAACAGTCCAGGAAATAAACTTCTTCTTCGTAAATGTTTTGTCATGACTTCTTCGTATATGTTTTGTCATGACTTCATCGTAAATGTTTTGTCAAACATGAACGTACATGTTTTGTCATGACTTCTTCGTAAATGTTTTGTCATGACTTCTTCGTATATGTTTTGTCATGACTTCATCGTAAATGTTTTGTCAAACATGAACGTAAATGTTTTGTCATGACTTCATCGTAAATGTTTTGTCAAGACTTCTTCGTATATGTTTTTGTCAAACATGAACGTAAATGTTTTGTCAAGACTTCTTCGTATATGTTTTTGTCAAACATGAACGTAAATGTTTTGTCAAACATGAACGTACATGTTTTGTCATGACTTCATCGTACATGTTTTGTCAAGACTTCATCTTCGTATTCTTTCACCCGTTGAATTTTGTATAAAAAGCAACCGTCGAAATTCTGGCGGTTGGTATATTCTTCACAAAATGCTTGTTTTGAGGTCGAGCCACTTTTGGCTCCACCGTATTTTTCAACCAAAACTCATGAATTTTCCCGAAATAAAAAATAAAGTTAGTTTTTTTAAAAAAATATTTTTTATTTTTATTGTAAGAACATGTTAGCAACAACAGCACCAAACTCGTTAGTCATGAACCCAACTTCAATGTTAGTAGAGATGAAAAGCTTCATTCCTTCTTCATATACTTTCGAAACAGAAATCCAGAAGATAAAGCAAGAACTTCTCCAAGGAGATTTAGATTGCACTGCGAAAGATGAAACAAATGAAGAATATCTTTATGACATGCAGGATATTATTGACCATCTACCTAAACTTCCTGAAATACAACAACAAAAGCTCACTATTCCTGAATTCGATGAAATAGAAGTGAAACCAACTGACTCAGTTGAAATAAAGAAGTTCATACGTAAGGTAAACTATGAGTTTCTTGGATTTCATTGCAACCACAAAGTCATTGACATATATAAATCTGAAGAATTTAAGACCTACGACAACTTTGTTTCGTTAGTTGCAAAATGTGTATGGCAGATAAGAGATAAAGATAGAAGAGGTAAAGTATGGAACGAACAGATAAAACCCGCAGCCTTTGAGTTAAAGAAAACCATTTACGCCTTAGTTGTTTTAGCAGGACAAATTTCAATGTACAATGCTAAAATGAACCCACAATGTTCAAAATGTAAAGCAGCAATGAGGAAATATAACTACTCCGTCAAAGAGATAGAACGTATGCGAAACGACTATGCTGACTTAAAGAAAGAAGCAGAGAAACCAGCAGAAGATAAAATGGACATGTTGACATTTCTGAACAAAAACTATCCAACTGCTGACGATTTCCTTCTATCTGACGTCAAGAAGAAATATAAAGAAACATTCGGCATTGTTAAAACATTCGATGTACTGACAGAAGAAATAGAAGCTACAAAACTGTTTAGGATTTCACGAATTCACAATGTTTACCATGTAAAACGCTTATAAAACTTTATGGTAGAAATATATTTTTGTCTGATTTACACTCATTGACGATGAAATCATGACAAAACATATACGAAGAAGTTTATTTCCTGTGTTGTTGTCAAAATGTCATGTTGTCACCATTTTCAAAAAGATGTTAGTTGACCGAGGGACCGAAGGACCGAGGGACCTGGTGACACCTAAAATATATTTTTGCTGAAAAAATGACCAAAAATCATTATATAACTGTTATTTTTTGACGAAGAGAACTTTGACACTTCGTAAAAAAAATCCCTGAAATCGTGAAAAAATGACCAAATTTCATTATATAACTGTTATTTTTTGACGAAGAGAACTTTTGCACTTCGTAAAAAAATCCCTGAAATCGTGAAAAAATGACCAAATTTCATTATATAACTGTTATTTTTTGACGAAGAGAACTTTTGCACTTCGTAAAAAAAATCCCTGAAATCGTGAAAAAATGACCAAATTTCATGAATTTCCTCATATGTTTGCGACCCGAGGAAAACCGCGGGTCGAGATTCCGTATGAAAATCGTGAAAATTTGCCAATAAATTTAAGAGGTTGGTATGTTCATAGACTATTAGTAAATGCAGTTGCAGTGAAGGCTTACTTTACATCGTTCAGACACTAAACACGCAGACGACTGGTTCAGAAACCAAAGCACACAAGAACTTTTGAGTGAAATTTCTCTAGACCGACTTTTTTCGGTCTTGCATAAAACTCATGAAAATCGTAAAAAAATGACCAAATTTCATTATATAACTGTTATTTTTTTACGAAGAGAACTTTTGCACTTCGTAAAAAAAATCCCTGAAATCATATCTTTTATACAAGATAGAAAATCTTACTCGCCTAAAACTCATGAAAACGTAAAAAACAGCGACCCAGACTTTTTTCGGGGTCGCCTAAAACTCATGAAAATCGTGAAAAAAATGACCAAATTTCATTATATAACTGTTATTTTTTACGAAGAGAACTTTTGCACTTCGTAAAAAAAATCCCTGAAATCGTAAAAAAATGACCAAATTTCATTATATAACTGTTATTTTTTGACGAAGAGAACTTTTGCACTTCGTAAAAAAATCCCTGAAATCGTGAAAAAAATGACCAAATTTCATTATATAACTGTTATTTTTGACGAAGTGAACTTTTGCACTTCGTAAAAAAAATCCCTGAAATCATATCTTTTATACAAGATAGAAAAAATAAAGTTAGTTTTTTATAAAATATTTTTTTTATTTTGTATGTAAAGACATATATGACAAACATTGAGTTTGAAACAGTTAGAAAGATAGACAATGACACCAAAATGGTTAGAATATGTGATTTAAACGTAAGATACTCAAAGAAATACAAGAAATATTCTTTGTCAGACATTTTATCTCCATCTGGAAAGAAACCGAAGGACTGGGTTAAAAATGCTTCTACTCAGAAAATTTTGACAAGAAATCCTGAGCTTATGATATCGGTAAGATTCTATGGAACTGCAGCATATCTTATAGACAAAAGTCTTATACCAATAGTTTTGTTATGGTTAGACCCAGTTGTTGGATATAACTTCATAACATATGGTTCATTCGATACGGAACGTTGCAGTGAAGGCTTACTTTACATCGTTCAGAAACCGAAGGACTTCAATACAAAGAGATATAAGATAGGAAGAACATATAATATAACTAAAAGATATGACAGTATAGTCAATAGAGTTAAGTTTGTGTTCGTTAACGATATGAGAGCTGCTGAAACAGAACTGCTTGAAGTTTTTGAGAAAATGTATGGTGCTCCCACGAAAGGTAAAGAAACGTTTGAAGTAGATGAGATAGATAAAGCTATAAAATTATTTGACGAAGTTGCTGAAAAATACATGTAAAGCGTTTATTTTTGGTCTTTTATACAAGATAGAAAATAACGCTAGTTTTTTATAAAATATTTTTTTTATTTTGTATGTAAGGACAGATATGTCAACAACAGAGAACACAACAACTGCTATCGTTCATGAAGACATAAATGAAGAATACGAGTGGGTTCAGTATAACAAACAGTTACGTCTCATTCGTTCGGTCAAAGACGATATGTACCAAGTGCAAAGTATTTTGACAGCATGTTTTGCTCCAGATACCAAGAAACCACAAGACTGGTTTAGGAACCAAAGCACTATTGAACTATTAAATGAAGCTGAAAATTCGACTACGGATTTTCTCGTAGTCGCAAAAACTCATGAAAATCGTGAAGAACAGCGAGTAAGTAAAAAACCCCAGTCGCCAAAACTCTATGAAAATCGTGAAAAATTGCCAAACGGTTTGAGAGGATATTATGTACATAGACTTCTTGTAAATGCTGTTGCAATGTGGGCTTCACCTCGTTATGCTTGGTATATTTTCATGATGTTAGATGAAATTCATAGACAAGAACGTGAAGAGCTAGAGAACAAGCTTGAAGCAAAAGATGAAGTCATTGAAGCAAAAGATGAAGTCATTGAAGCAAAAGACAAAAACATACAGAAAAGAATACCACGTTCGGTACCAAAAGGAAAGGAAAAGAACTATAAGTATATGATTTATACTGAAGAGATGGAAAATGAAGAAGACAGAGATATGGTTATGTTGCATTTAGTCAGAAGAAACAACAAAAGCTTTTACGACCTTGCTAAGATTTACAAATCTGACAGAAATTGGTTCTATCGCGAAAACTTACCGATTTCAATGACACCAAATGAAGATGTGAAACAAATAGTTCAAGATACGTTACCTCAAACACACTATGATATTAAAGGTTGTACAATACTTACATTCAAAGAAGATTTGCCGCTACTGAAAGAAAAAATAACAGAGTATTTTGACAACTTCAAACAAGCAGAGTAAATGAACCATTTATTTTTACGCTTGACTTCAGATGGCTCAGGTAGCTCTATAAGGTAAATTGTCTTGTCAAATCCTTCTGGCATTCCGAGTCCTTCCATCCGACATTCCGAGTCCTTCCATCCGACATTCCGAGTCCTTCCATCCGACAAGAAAAAAATTTCCCGACAACTGGAAAAAAATTTCCCGACAACTGGAAAAAAATTTCCTGTTGTTCGTCCGTAAACCATTCAAATTTTCGAAAATTGAGAACTTTTTGGTCGAACTTCAGAAAAAGTTTTTCCTTCCGACAGAAAAAGTTTTTCCTTCCGACAAGAAAAAGTTCTTCCATCCGACAGAAAAAGTTCTTCCTTCCGACAGGACACAAACGGATGACTGACGTTCCTCTTCCTGAATGCCTTCCAAAGCCAGAAGAACCGACAGCCCCAGCACCACAACAGACTAAGACTAAAACACTTACATTTTTACGCTTGACTTTTTACAATTTGAACTTTGTTTGCGTAGATATGAATTCTGAAAGAAGTATGAGGGTCTTGTATGACTTTGTACTTCTCCCATAGTTCATGTCTGTCAAACTTACCTGCCATGGACTCTTTCATAAGTTCCATGAAATCGTCTTCGGACAATCCGGGGAAAAGTACAATGTCAGTAAGTATTCTCTTTACATCCTTACTTAAACTCTTTGCTGTCTGTACACAAATGACAACTGAGATGTTAAAGTGTCTGAGCTTCTTAAGAATTCGACACATATCTTGTTCTCTATTCTTTAACAAAGGATGAGATGCAAAGTCGTCTAAAATAAGAAGACATCTGTGAGGGTACGTTTTCCAATCGTAAGATTGCAATTTCTTCGAAATGTATTCTATCTCTTTCTGTTTGTTTCTGAAGTGTTTCTTCTCTAATATTCTCTGCATTTCCTCATTTGGGTCTTTAAACTTAGAATTTATATACTCATTTATAGCATTGTACTTCAAAACTCTTCTTTGGTACTTCTTTATCCAATCTAACAACTCAGAGTCTTTTATACATACTAACTTAGACTTCTTTATAATATCTTTGAACGAATTGACGGTTTGGTCAAATTGACCAGAAGTACTACAAATGACAACTAACTCATAGAATGGGTTCTTCTCATCTAGTTCTTGTTGTTGTGCAGCCATTTTAAGATAAGTGAAAGTCTTACCCGACCCAGGTGGTGCAATTAGACCTGTTATACCATTCTGAGCAAATAAGAACTTGTCATGTATGGGTTTTATCTGAGCATTTTCTAATTTCACCTTGTTCTTGTTTAAAACATTCTCAAATTTCTTGTCAATGTCAGCAAACTTTTTTTCTAACATATTTTTAGAAAAATTAAAATTTTTATCTTTTTGAAAATGTCTAGCGATTTCGCCATCTATATTCGAGACAAACTTTTCGACAGCAAAACATCTGTCGACCATAAAATCTTACATAGTGTAAACAAGAAAGGTGAATTTGTTCTAAAGTTCTGTTTCTGGGAATATGACAAGAACCATAAAACATTAAGCAGAGCAGTCTTAAAATTTGTCAATGACAGACTTGTTGACAGAGATGACGCCGATTGGAAAGATGAAGTCCAACAAAAGTTCTTAGAATGCAAAGAAGACACATGCGCTGTTCTTGAAGATGAAATAGAAAACAGAATAGATGAGCTATTAAAGGACAAAGAACTTTTACAAAAATATGGTTCTGAGAAGTTTGAGATAACTCCACCAGAAAAGAAGAAGAAAGAAAAGAAAGAAAAGAAAGTAGAAGAAGAGAAGAAAGAACCTGAACCAGTTCCAGAGAAAAAGAAATTTGACATGTAAAAATAAAATTTTATTTTTAGAACATTTCTGGGTCAATGTCAATGTTCTCTTCCTCTTTAGGAGCAAACACTGGCTTAGACTCTAAAATCTTTTTACCCAATTTACCTTGAACTTCAACTATCTTAGACTCATAATATTCATAGTCGTCTGCTTTCTTTGGTTCATAAGGTATAACAAGTTTGTATGCTTTGCCTTCTTTAAGGTTTGAGAACCTTCTGTCAAAACTTTCTTTGACTGTTAACAAACCTTCTATGTCTAAGTCTTCAAATTTCGCACCATTTTTAGTCACAACAGCAAACTTAACTGGTTCGATGTTCCAAACTTTGCTGAATGAAGACTTTTCAAAATGGTAGAAGTAAACATTCAAATATGTGAATGGGTCTAGTTCTTCTTTAAGTCCTGACATGTACTTGTTTACTGAGATGAATTTCGTCATCTTTTCTATCGGATAAAAAAATATTTTTTCGAAAAATAAACTTAGAAAAATTATTTCTTTATATATTTGCCATTCCGAACTTCGAAAAGATGTTTTATACCAGCATAGAATTTTTCTCTAGAGCTTGGTCTTATATCGTTTTCATGACAATATTTTCTATATTCTTCATATAAAGCCTTTTTTTCATACATTTCATAAGGACAATCTAACCAGAATAGCGCATATCCATTTTCGTTATCTAGGTCTCTATATGTTTCTTCTGTTTGTGGAATTTCGTTTTCTTCTGTTTGTGGAATTTCGTTTTCTCTATTTAGTTCTATGTCTATATATTGTGGCTTAAAAAGATGTGGGCAAGAAGGGTGTGGCGCTATGTAAAAAGTTAATTTTTCTGTCATCTTTTCTATCGGATAAAAAAAATATTTTTTTTTAAATTTACTCAGAAAAATTTTTCTTTGTATATACACCATTCTGTACGTCTAAAAGACTTTTGACATTTGCCAAGAATGTTCGTTTAGACGCTGTCATATAACCATATTCTTGACAATATTGTTTATACGAATCGTACAATGACCTTTCATCTAAACACTCAAAGTCAGTTTCATCTATGAACAGTTCATATACACTCTTGTTTGCTTCTAACAATGTTTGTCTCTCTTCGGTATGTGGAATTTGTCTTGGATTGAACTTTGAAATATCTAATGTCATGAAATATGAGAACAAGTGGTTGTAAAAGTCAGATGTCAAAGTTTCTGACAAAGCGTCAAAATATTCTGTATCTTGCATATGAGCTTCTGACGTTCTGACAACTACATATCTTCTGTCAGAACTTTCTAACTTCATCGGAACAGCATTGTTTGAAACCATAATGAAATTTGCAACATTTTCACAAACTCTTTGGTCTTTATACTTTCTTTCAACAACTCCAACTTTGTCTGTTATAAGACTCTTCAAAGCATCTGAGTTCAAAACTTTTGTTGTATCTATACTTTGAAGTTCGTTACATACTATAAGTTTCATATTCTCTATTGAAGAGTTAAATTTACCGCAGATGTTTTCTAAGTTTGTCATATTAGGGTTCGAATAGCCCTCTAACAGTTTGCATAAGATATCTGTAAAGAATGTGTTCTTACCAGTTCCTTGTTTTCCAATTATAATGAGAGCAGTTTCATTTTTAGCACTTGGATGTTGTAAGATGTTTGCAAACCAACATAAGATATACTCATAGACTCTTTCGTTTCCATTGCATATAATTTCTTTGACATGGTCTAACCAAGCTTCTATAATATTTTCTTTCCATTCTACTTGTTCATATTTATATCCAGTGAAGATAGAATAGAAGTTTGGAGAAGGTGTATAAAACTTTATACCTCGAACTGAAAAATCTTCTAACTTTGACAATAAGATATCCCAAGCATCTAACATCTTCATGCCAACTTGTACAACTTTTATTTTCTTAAGTTTCTGTCTACATTCTTGTTCTGAAACTATTGTTGCTCTTGGTTTGTTAAAGACTACATCATTCTTTCATAACATAAACATTCTGGGGCAGAGTCGACATAAATGACTAAACGTTTCAAATTCTCGACTGCTTTGTTATAGTCTCGAAATGGACACATATTTCTGAATGTTTGGAAGTCATAAAAATCTGAAACATCTATTCTGTACATTTTTATAAAAATAAAAAAAATATTTTTTTTATTCTTGAGCTATTTGTTGCATTTGTTCCATTTGTTGCATTTGTTGTTGAAGTTGTTCTTGTAATACAATACTTTCACCAGTTGCATCTCCAATTCGAAACTTTCTGCCGTCATTGACAAATACATAGGACATAAAAGTTTACAGGAACAAAGTTTGCGTCAACTAAGGTTAAGTTTTATGTTTGCTAAGTGTTGAGTTTACTAAAGCTGAAAACTCTGCATTCGAATGAACAATAGCAAACCAGCAGAGAATTGTGTATTTATACGCATGAGTATCTTTTGGTCATAGTAGTTTCTGTCGACATTCGAATAGCACTTTGAACCTAAGTTTGAAACAATATATAAATAGGTGTACTTAAAGTCAATGGAACAGACATTCCTTGTATGACACCTTTTCCTGTTATAGGAAACTGTTGTAGTAAAAACCAGATATAAGTTTTGTATTATAGCTCATATTGTTTATAGTAAACTCAGTCGGACATCCAAACATAATGAAACCTGCTCTAGTTGCAGCACATGTTTACACTCGTCCTTAAAGTATTAAATAAGTCAACAAAACCTGTTGGTGGTATATCTGAGTAAGTATCTTCAAAGGAGTATTTTTTACCATTCACAACAATAAATCTTCTGGGTGTCAAAAGAGCAAAACAGGCTTTAGTCGTCATTGTGTTTAAGGTTAGTTTACAATATCGTCCTTGAGGACTTTGTAAGTTTGTTGTTATAGAATTATATGACTCAGGGTTTTTAGTCGTAATAGTATAAACCATTGTGTCTTCTGCCATTTACTTAGCAAATAAATTTTAATGAAATGTTGTGGTCGTCAAATATTTTTATAACGTCTGGGAAACTATATTTAAGTTCAACGTTTCACCTCCTTCATAACGTATATCTTGTCAATGACATTATATGAAACACACAGCAACTAACGTCGGGTTCTATTTCTTTGATGTTTATATCGTCTGCCTCTGTCAAAAGTTTCAATAGTTCTTTCAAAACTTCATGAGGTGCAATGACATATGAGTTCACTTTTACAGGGTTGTGTTCGACCAAAGTTTAACATTATACCTAAAGCTTGACAAATCTTCTCCTGAGTTTGAAGTTTGTCTTCAGTTGTTGTAGTCGTTTCGAATATCTGCAACAGAACTTAAGTCTCTGCTAACTTCAGGTATGTTGGTTGTTCTTTTACAGGAACATTGTTATACCATCTTGGTCTTCGTATGGTTTCCCCACTTCAACATCTCTGTCTTTGACATTGACAACAACACTTTGACTGTTTGTTTGAGTTGGTGAATTTAACTTCACATTTGCCAACCGCCATTAAACCTTTTGAAACACTTACGCTTCTATTTTTCGGAAATGACATTTTACTTAGAATAAAAGATGGACGTATTCGAGTATCTCTTCGAATTGAAGCAGAACAAAGTTTACAACACACAAACAATACAAATACATTGACAGAATAGTTCTTTATACAAACAATGGTAAATGTTATAGAATAGCAGTCTTTGCTGAACCAAAATATTTTCATAAAGCAAAGAAAGTTGGTATAACTGAAATGGTGAAAGTTCTTGAAGCAGACAAAAATATAACTTCAAAACTTACAGATATTTCTAAAGGTAAGTTTATAATACAATATTATGTCAAAACTGGCGTACTGTCAATATTTGACGGAGAGAAGTCAGTTCAAGAACAACTTACTGACCTGCTGCCAAAATCTGCTCGATGGAAGCTGTCGTTATGCCAATCTGAGGAGCCCCAGCAGGTTTCATCGAACGAATCTTCAAAAGAGCATCTTCCGTGAAAAGTGCTATTGGTTTTGTAAACTTCTTTGCTTTCAATTCATCTGGACCGTCTGTCACCAGTATATTGTATTTGAACTGTACCAACAGTTGAAATACACACCCATAAAGTCTTCTGAGTCAGCAAATGGAATGCCAAGCCAAAAGTTTGAACGGTCTCCATTTGTATATTGAGTTTTTTGACCTCTGTATGAGTCCATACTTTCACATATGGCATAATAGAACTTTGCATTTCAGGGTTAATGGTTGTTGTGAAGTTGTTGTTAAAGTTCATAGCATCTAATGTCAAGTTGTATGACCTCATATCCTCAACTGTAGAATATTTTTCTCTTGGATAATATTTGCCATCTATGTTTATATGATATTTAATACCGGGGTTGTAGAAACAAGAATAGTCATTTATAGTTCGTCTGAACAGTACAAACATAGTATCTGCATGTTTCATTGCAGTTGTTAAGGCAATATCTGTTCTTGCACCTGGGTCAGCACTTTGGTTTCCAACTTCACTGCAAAGTCTTTGACAGATATTTGGTGTATAGGGAACATAAGTGGAACTGCAATATATTTGGCAGCTAAAGCATTTGAAATATCTGGGTCCAACATATAGACTGCAAGTCTGCGCATTCTATTCTCTTGCATTCAAATTTTTCGCATGTGAACTTAACTGGGTCCCAAGCAGTTCCAGCAGCATTGAAATAATAGTTTACTTCAGTGTTGAAGTTTGAGAAACCAAAGTCTAAGTCAACTTTGTCTTTGCAAAATTCGGCGATGACGTTTGATTTGCTCCCTTTACGTCTGTAATAGTGAATGGGTCTTGTGTTGGTGCAATGACTAAGTTATTTTGCTTGGAGTAAGTTCAATAGAAATTTTTCCTGCCAGTTTGGCAAGTATCTTAAAAACCTGAAGATGAGGAAAGATGACAAAGGAACTCTAAGTTTCAGTTTTACTTTGGTTACTGCTGCTGCAGTTTGTCCAGAAAGGTTAACATAAACTCCTGGAACGTTAGGGTCAAGTCTTCTTATTTTCTCAATAGTTGCATACTGGTCTGTTTGTTCTCTAGCTTGTGGTTGTACTGAGTTTCTCAAGCGAACCATTCATAGTTTGCCCATGTTACTGTTTGAACTAAGTCAGAGTTAGAATATATCTTATATCCCATGAAAACTTCTGGAGCATATTGGTATCCGACATAGAAAATTCCATTGCAACCTTTCTTGTCAGACAACTTGGCAGAAGGTTTTATTTCAATGTCTTGTTCCACGTATAAGAATGAGTTGTCAATAGAAATAATATGAAACCTGTCGCATGCAATATCTACTGTTGTTGAAGAACCTTCACCAAACTCACCTACATTTCCATAAGAAACAGCAGTTGTATATTCGTAAGTTCCAGGAACTATTTCTGACCTTCTAATGGCATTGTCGCATTCGTTATACCATTCGGAAACATTTCCATTCATGGCATCCAAAACTGTTGGCGTTATATTCTGAGCGGCGTACATTTCATATGGGTAAAAATATAGAATAGTTGGATTTATTTGTCACAATTGTTTCGGACCAAGCTTTACTTTCTTCCTGGCTGAGTTTTTAACTCTTCTTTTTCCTTCATTGCCACTACTTTCACTAGATGAAGTTACTTCTTCACTACTTTCACTTTGTTCTACTCTTCTCTTCTTCTTTGGTGTCGCTTTTGGTAACTTGCCCTCTGCTTCAAGTTGTTGCATCTTTGCCTCATGTTCACCTAGTATGTTGTAAATTTCCCATGTCCTTTTTGCCTTTGGGCTCTGGTCGCCCATCTCAGGTAACCTATATCCTAGAAAGATTTTGTCATAGTTTGTATTTGAGTCTTCGCTTATTGTTTGCATGACTCTTTCCTGAGTTTCCGGTTCAAGCTCTTCAAACAGAGCTTGTCCATATGGAATAAGCTCGTTTCCAAATATATGTTTTTGTAGCCATTCTGGTTTTCTTTCCATGTTACCAACAATATCTTTTGTGAATGGGAAAGCTTTTACCCAATGTTTCAGTCTTGCGTCATTTATTTCTGTAGTTGGTTTTATTTTGTCAAGGAACATGTTTTTCAATACTAACATTTCATTTGGTACTGTCCATTTGAGTTTTCTTAAATATTCATCCCTTCTCGGTTCATTGTCTGCAAAGTAAGTTTTTATGACATTTTGCAAACTTTCGTTTGCAAGGTCATGTACAATAGGTTCTCTTCCTTCTCTCTCCCTAACTTTCTTTCTAAACTCTTCACCAAATATACCATCTCTATGGTTCTGTGTAGTTCTTTGAGATAAATGTTTTAAGAACGTCAGGTGTTATATTTCCATCAGCCATGTTCATTTCATACTGGTTCAAAATATCTGCATCTTTCATATCTTTCAATGGCATTAAAGCCGCGCTGAAAATACCAGCTAAATCTGGTTCACCATTCACTTCCATTGCGTCTACAACTTCTTGGAATGTGGTTGTAAGTTTATGAACCACCTATCCGGATTTGCTTTATGACCCCATCTCATTGTAGT